ATGAATTGGTTTAGTACGGTTTTAGTTTCGGTTTGATTCACTTGTGAAGAGTAGCAACTAACATTGCGGAATCAACCATGTAAATCACTCAAAATCGACCGAGACATGTCCAAAGTGATATACATTTGACCGTACAGATACTTTTTGATTGGCCTACCTTCTATATCTATTACCATAAAGATTTATAGAGATCTTGAAATTCCCAACTTGAAGGAACCTTTGGTTTAGTTAAGAGTTTTTGTGTCTGATAATGACAGCCTCGAAGATACCGTCTGATCGGAAGTTAGGAGAGAATAAACGCGGATCAACTGGTCCTGGGAGACTAAAGCACAGTTTGAACGGTCCAGGTGGACACAGCTTTCCGACATTCATATCGAAAACCCGAGAATGCCTCTTGATCGTTTTCTCGCCTGTTGTAGTCATTCCTTCCAGAATAACCTTTCCATCTGATTCAATCTCACAGCTGAATTCACCTGCACAAGAAAGACCAAACCATTCATGAGATTCAAGGCATGCAGGGGACTTATGGGAATAGTTAGATTGAACATACCGTGACCTTTGCGGACACCGGGTAAAGCAACTTGAAAAAAGTACGCAACTTTGTTGACACCGATATCGACAACACCAACGGATGGTCCTAGAGTTCCTTTACTCGCTGTTCCGTTAATTACGAATGATGGTTCTGTATCACATTCCTTCATCTCAGGAGGAAAAGGTACGAGTGCAAAGCTCCTGTGGTGATCTGATTTGTCTCTTGCCATAGCAGTTTCGCCATTCTTGTTTGTTGCTTTTGTTGATGAGTTCTTGAACCGCTTTCTCTTGTACGTCTCCCGGAATCTTTCTGGAGTTTTACTGATTCCGAAAGCAGCATGATCAGCATATGCTTCTTCTTCCTCTTTCTTTCTCTTGCTTGTTTCCCGAGGCTCTGCGGATGAATTGCAGTCTTTGTCTGAGACAAGTTCATTGGAGGTAGCTTCATCGTTTCTTGAGCATTCCTCCTCTGTTCCCTGGCTTTCTGGGGTTTTACTGATTACGCAAACAGCATGACCAACAACTGCTTCTTCCTCTTTCTTTCTCTCGCAAGTTTCTTGAATCTCTCCAGATGAATTGCAGTCATGGTTAGTGACAAGTCCATTGGATATCGCTTCCCCATTTCTTGAACGGTCCTGCTCAGTTCCCCGGGTTTCATCTAGCTGTACACGCTGAGGAGATAAAGATGCAACAGTGACAAGTCTATTGGATTTCTCTTCCATATTTCTTGAACGGTCCTGCTCGGTTCCCTGGGTTTCATCCAACTGTACACGCCGAGGAGATAAAGACGCGACAGTGACAAGTCCATTGGATTTCTCTTCCCTATTTCTTGCACAGTCCTGCTCGGTTCCCCGGGTTTCATCCAGCTGTACACGCCGAGGAGATAAAGACACGACTCTGTCGATTTTCAGGTCGTCCAAACGTGACAAGCATCTGAACCTTTGGAGTTCTTCATTGCTTATGAATGCCACTGCAGGATCATCAATAACAACAATCCCTTTGACGATCTCGTGGCTCGGGGAATACCTTTTCTGAGGGTGAAGATTAGTCGGGAAAAAATACGTGAATTGATGAAACTCTCCAACGGGTTCCAAAGGTAGATACCCCTTCAGATACATATAAATCATATCGGGATGAAGAACGAGGCTGGAGTTGGCGTTTCTCAGTACGTAATAGTACAAGCTCTGTAGCTGCACAACGGTTAAAGAAGAAGGTCCAATGTGGTTCAAAGTGTAAGGTGGTAAACCTTTGGCTAATCTCTGAGATGCTGAACATCTTGGGTTATCAGAATACACATCAGGACCCAAGTAATTGCTCATGATGAAATTAACCAAGAAATACTGATCGCTCGATAATCCTTCGCTACACAGACTCATGTTTCCCTCTTTTGCTCGTTTCGATTCCAGCAAATGGCTATATCAATGAACCTGCATTTACAGATAAATGTAGCAACAATGTCACACATGGAAAGCAAATAAGAACATGCCAAAAATGTAGTTACAGGAAATAAACTGAGTCTCTCAAATTTGTCAAAGCTTTATAAGATTCCACCATGTTGGTCACTATGTCTCTATCATTTTTGGTAATTGTGAGAGATCATATTCAAACCCTAATTTTTTTTTTTTCACTCATTAACAAACCGCATAATTGGATCCTGAAAAGATTTATGTTGAAAATCCTGAGAAAGGTAGCATATGTTTCATAGTTTTCACTCTTCAATTCACAAAACTATATCAAAATCTACCCAGAAAAAAACACCATAAATCTAGAAACCCATTTCACTAATTAGTTCAAAGTCAAACAAAATACTCTTAAAATACAATTACGCTTGAAGACGACACTAATCGTACAGTCTATTGCAAGAATCGATCTCACATTGTGCACATAACTACTAAACCAGAGTTAAAACAGGGATTTTTTTCTTTTTCTTGTGCGATTTCAATTTTATAAGTCCATATATTGAAAATCAAAGCAACAATTTTGAAGTTGTATAAGCATACATTCATGGAAAAAAACGAGCAGAAATTCGAAGCAATAACACATCAGAGGAAAATCAGAATCAGTAATGGGTTTTTTTTTGTTAGTTTACCTTTAGTTTTGTTGAGAGCGAAAAGGGGTAAACTTGGGAAGAAGAAACAAGAGATTTCTTCTCTGCAATGAAAACAAATTTCATTTGGGTGTGTAGAGAAAATGCAAAGAGGATGGGCTACTCGCTCGTTACACGTGGACAGCACGTGGGCCCCGCAAATAACCGCATTTGGAGGTATCACTTGTCACCTGGAAAGCCACGTGCCGATTTTGTTGTAAAACTATGGGCTTTTTTAAAAAGAGCGTAAGGCCCAATATTTTTTTTTTTTTGTCTTACTCTGAAAATGAATAAAAAGAGAGTAGCCCCCTAACTAAACTATTTTAGGAACACATTTAATTTTAATAAATACTAAAACAAAATGTCACATTTTCATTTCTTCTCTTTTCTTAACTATAAACGGCGATTCTATAGAGGGATTATGAAGTTGCTAAATGATAAAATACTACTTAGAAAAAGGTAAATATTGATCAGATGGATATTTTGCATCAAAAATTGTTAGCAAATATTGGAATTTTTTTTTGAAATATGCGGTAGGATTCAGATAAGAAAAGGTGAAAAACAAGAAGAGAATCTGAAAAGAAATGTAGGAATTTCAGAAGAAGATGGAGTCGTAGACGGAAACAATTACGAAAGATCCGAAAAAACCAATATATCAGTCTAGAAACTGTACAGACATTGAGAAGAGAAGAGAAGAGACCTGCAGCTAAAATCTATGCACAGACAAGAAAAGCTAAGCGAGATGAATAGACATGAACTTTTTCTACTTGCAATGCAGAGGACTGGACTAGACTCAAGAGGACATAAAAAGCTAACCTAACAATCAATCTTACTAACACACTCTTATGCCTTATGAAAGTGTGTAGTAAGAAAACTACTTTAAACTACCAAAAGAATCAGATTTTGATTCCACCATTCTATATGCATCTGTATGTGTC